ACAGTATTTTGCGTAGACTATCCAAGTTTTAGAAACATTTGTTTTTTTGCAATGTTTGCCATTCATGAAATGGCAATTCCAAGGATATCCCTGCCTGGCAAAGCATCTGAATGAATTGCATCAGCCATTGTGGAAGATTTCCCATTTTAGACCAAGAGGAATTTGTGGGGTCAGATGATGAACAATGAAAGGGATTCTTGCTCATTGCGAGGCCAGACGAATCCAGTGGCAGTTGAGGGTCTGAATTGCAAATCCAACCTGTCATCTCCTTGTCAACTGCGAAAAACCTCTATTCACTTTAGGCACTAGTAGAGTTTGTTATTAGGGTTTTGTGTTGTTTTCCAAAAATTTGAAGGGAAATTAGACTCATGAGGCACTTAAGTGAACACTGAATCTGAACTTTGGGAAAGAGAAACAAAAAATAGAAACTTTCAAATGATTGAACAGCCAGCCACAATTATGACTGTAACTAACCAAAGTTATGGGTTCACTCCATGTTCCTCAAAGGGCACTCTGTGGGGGCCACAGGCAGCTCACAAATGGCTAACAGACTGGATTTCAGTGGTTTTGATGCTCATGGCAACATTAACAGACTGAATTTATCATGAATCAACACATTTACATGTGGAATTTAATGAAAAGTAGCTTTAACTCATTGTTTTCACCAAAAGCAACTTCACTCCCTCCCCCCCCCCCATTAAATCTGGGGAGATTTTTTGCCTTAACTGGGAACAGGTGGAATGAGGCCTGCACAACTTTCTGCCTCGCTGTACACTTGGTTCTAGGCCAAAGAAGGTTGAGAACCACTGCCGTAGGAATAGAGAAAAGGCAAGCTGTTTGAGAAGGTTTATTGTGATGATTCAGGATCCATTCCACAAATATTTATTGAACGCCTACTATGTCAGCTCTGTGCATTGCCAAACACCACTTGGTTCATTAGAATATACCAGCTAGAAAAACAACTGAATGGGAAATGAGATGATGAAGCCCCCCTTCTGAGACCCAAACGCAGAACACGCTGTCTGAAATCACATCTGAGTGATCTGCCCCCACTTGATGGATGATAAAAGAATATACATAGGGCCTTAGTAGGAGTCTTTTTAAGAGAATAATTATTACAATACGTTCTAGAAAAGAGCCATAATAAAAGACCATAAAAATGGCTCTTGACTGATACATCAGACCAGATCATACTAGTTGATAAAAATAATGATGACTGCATGGTAGAGCGGCACCATTTAGTAAAACTACAAACGCCCACAAAGAAAGGAATGAGCAAGGATGTGCTGTTTGCAGAGGCTGAATGTGGGAACTGTGGAGCATCCAAATAAAGCAGTTGAAGTTCACACACATATCTACATACCCACTCAGGCCTTATTAATCACTGAAAACTTATTTTAGCAACTGCCATTTTACCTTAGGACTTTCATTTCAGTACTGTGTGGCCAAATCATTTGGTCCATGGGATCCATAGCATGTAATAAATTGATACAGATGTATTTCTGTTTAACAAGTAAAATAATAAAATGACAGGTAAACATATTGATGACTGAACTCTAAACTATCTGATGGCAGACTCAGTCTTTCTCTGATCGATCAGATTCCTCTAAATGTAATGTCCATGCTATGAAGGCTCAATAAGACAGAGTAAATCTAAATGGCCGGTATCAAGTGAAATAAGTCAGATAGAAAAAGTTAAGGACCATATGATTTCACTGGTATGTGGGATATAAAAGTGAAAGCAACAAATGAACAAACAAGAAAAACAAACAACAAATCATAGACAGAGATAACAGTATGACAGTTACCAGAGGGATGGGGTGTGAAGGTAGTAAAGGGTAAGGGGATCAAATATATGGTGATGGAAGATTTGACTTTGGGTGGTGGGCACACATATAGGTGATGTATTATAGAATCATGCACTTGAAACCTATATAATTTTATTTACCAACTAGAGGCCCGATGCACGAAATTCATGCAAGAGTAGGCCTTCCTTCCCCCGGCTGTCGGCACCGGCTTCCCTCACAGTCCTGGCTTCGTCTGGAAGGTCGTCCAGAAGGGTGTCCAGTCCAATTAGCATATTACACTTTTATTATTATAGATGTTACCCCAATAAAACTAATTTAAAAATCTATATGACTGGACCTTATTCTGTCTCTAAGCACAGCATCAAAGTATAATTCCATGTTATTTGTTACAGCTCATATGCAAATTATAACTAATAATTAATAAAAGGTAGCTAATGTTGGCACCAAGCAGAATTGCTAAATAATCACCTTTATGGGATGGAATTTATGGGAAAAATCAGCATTTTGATGGACTATGGTTTGGAATAGAGTTGTGATTATGGTAGGAAAGTACTTTCCAAAATTATGAGTCAGAGCTTAGTCATCCTCTCCTTTCACTTTGGCTTGTTAATGTATCTCAAGTTAAGCAATAGCACTTTCAATCTTGACCATTTCTGTTTGTTGATCATTAATCTAATTTGTTATCACTAGTTACTATTTTTGGATGTAGGCTGTAAATGTATTCATATGGAACTCTCCCATTTTTACTGTGATGTAATCTTAATGTTGATTAGTAATATTACGAATATTGGCATTCTTTTGTTACTTTGTCAACTAAAGCTCTGTGTGGTGCCCAAGAAAGACCCACCTTATAGCAAATGCTCTTTTAAAATATTAAAGTGAGGTTCCAGTAAAGCTTGCCTGCAAACCGCCCACGTTTAAACACACCTTTACATGCACAGACCTTTGTGCATAAGTTGGAAATGTCTTACAGGCCTCCTAACTGATCAGTGTGATTCAGGAATGAAGTTACTGAAGACTGATATTCATGCTCCCATTGTAAAGGAGGGAAAATTGAGGCCTGAAATAATTCAATGGTCTGGCACTGCTCAGGCAGGTCATGACCCCAGAGACAAAAAATGTTCCCGGGAAGCATTTCTAAAACTTTACTAGAAAAACAAGGCATATTTAATTAATGGATAACCCGATTACTCTGTTGTTTAATCACTCTTGGATCAAAATCATTTTTTAGCTTTAAAGTCACCCTTTATTTTGAGGCTTAGAAGTAAGTTATCAGCATTTACAGCAGAAAGGAGGGATGCTCCATGAAAAGTGATAACAAAATTAAATGAATAATGAGATATGAGAAGTTATTTAATTGCTCATGACTTTTCTAAGACAAGTGCAATGAAAGCTCCTAAAGATATTTGTCATTTTTGTTGTTTGTTTTGTCCTTCTAACTATAATAGAGCAAGAGTTTAAACAATATGGCTGATATAAGAAAGCTGGAAAATTATGCTAAGTAAATGTGTTGACAGCTGACCAATGGGAAGTATTACTAATGAAGATTGAAAACGGCATTTCCCTGGCCAGGTAGCTCAGTTGTTTAGAGTGTCGTCCCAATACACCAACATGTTACAGGTTCAATCCCCGGTCAGAATATATACAAGAAGCAACCAATGGATGCATAAACAAGTGGAACAACAAACCAGTGTTTCTCTCTCTCTCCCTTCTCTCTCTAAAATCAATCAGTAAATCACAAAAAAGTGGCATTGCTTGGTGAAAATTGTACAATGAGGATAAATAGTGTTGTGAAGATGGTTCACATTTTTAATTTTGTCTTTGTTTTTTTAACATCTCACTAGCAATGTTATTTTAGGCAAGTCTTTTTACTTTGTGTTTCATAAAAGCAAAAGTATGCATTTCCCAAATAATATATGTGGAATATATTCAGATTTGGGGGAAGGGTATAATAACAAAAAAATTAGAACTGAGCTTTTTTTCCCTTCAAGATAATAAAGTTTCCTTGGATAAACAATGACTATGACCTGAGTTGAAGCAGAACTCCCTCTTTCAAGGGCAAAGGTGATGTGGGACTCTCTGGAGTCACAAGTAGCATTTCAAAGAAGCAAATTGCTTCCCGTGCTCAGAGACAAAGCAATAGGTTTTAGTTTCACAGTAGAGCCATGTAGCTCCCATACACTCAACTTTAAAATTGCCAAAAAGTATGATTTAGAAAATGATTTAAATTGTGTAACAAAATGTCCATAATACTTTTCATTATTTAAAATATTTATGTTACTGTATCCATTGGTAACCACAAAACCATGTATACTGTATTTTTATGAGCTTTTGGGAAGCTTTGCAAAGGTAATTTTGATTATGCTCAATTTTTGCCTAATGAATTTACCTTAGAACCTGACCCCAACATAAATAAGAAAAGACCACACTATAATTTAATATGTATCTGAGATCATAACATAGGGCTTCTCCCTGCAAAGCTACCTTATTCCAGATAACTTATCTAGAGCATAAAAGCAGAGCCTCAATATAATATTAATTTCAAATTAGCCTATAAAACCAAATCAACAAAATATCCAAGGTGATGTATTTTTGCATTTTCTGAGTTACCCCTACATAGTTGGATAGTTTTTGCTAAAGCATTACCAAATGCCTGAGATGAAAGGGAATTTAAGGCCCAGGCTCTCAGCAGGGTCATTTGCTAAACTGGCTGCAGGACCTCTCTGCATCCCTTGGTCATACTGAAGCTCGATGGTTTTGGTGACCATAGAGGAATCATTTGACCTGTTGCTCAGGTTGGTCCTCACACTAACGATTGTCCAGTTACTGCCACTTCCCTTACTGTCCTAAGTAGACCCCCCAAATGACAGGTGGGAACTTTGCTTTGGAATCTGCTTGTGCAGGTGAGGTCTTACCTGGTAACTACACAGTCCAGGTGGTTTTCCACAGGCAGGATTTTTATTGCACAAGCCCATGCCCTTTTTCTTTAAAGTACGGCAAATATGGCCTCCAGAAAACAGTAGGAATCCAGACAGCAGGGAGGCTAATGTTCATGTTCATGTTTTTCTCTTCTAATTTGGGAATTGGCATAGAGAGGGGGCTCCACGCACTGCTTTCCTCACGTTTCTCAGGTGGAAGCAGAAAATATTCATGGATTTGTTTTCCTTCCTCCCTCTCCCGCTGGCCCTTCAGATTTATGAGGAATCCAAGATGAATCTGGAGCAGGAGAGGCCATTCATCTGCAGTGCTCCAGGCTGCTCCCAGGTGAGTGTGGGGATCTTCTGCTCATCTTAGAGGGGTCATACCTACCTTCCAACAGGGGAGCAACTCTCTCTTGACAATCATGCCTCCTGTGGGCTTTCATTTTTCACCAAGGTATCATATCGTCAAAGTCCCCCTCACCATCATCACCATCATCATCATCATCATCAATGTGTTCATTTTTCATTTTGAATAGTTTGAACTACTTCCCTCATAGCCCCTGAAAAACATCAGTGTTGGACATTTACACCCATAACTTCTCCCTGGAAGTACGCTAGTTGCATCTTGCCCACCAGATGCTCAGGTTAGTTATTTCAGAAAAAGGGGAAGGAGAGTGCCTGCTGTTAAAACAGCTACTTGAATATTGGCTCTTTGGTTTACTGGTGAAAGAGTTTACAATCAGTGGTTGAATTCTATTTTGTTTTGTTGTCCTATTCGAGTTAAATAAACCCCCTGTTACTCTTTGAAAACCTACAGTTTTTCTATTTATTTAAACTTTAAGAGGGGAAGTTGGCCTACTGTGCTAGATTAAACCTCTTTTAGCCTCCAATGGCTCCAATCAAGTGGAATTGTGAGAATTAGATGAGATGCTGCATGTAGTTTAGTATAGAGCCTGCACATAAGTGTTCAATTAATGTTTGCTGTTGTTGCTATTCCTGCTGCTCTTATTATTACACTGGAACCTGTCCCTGGAAGAAATTGGAAATATCCATCATCTAACATCAGCGTGTTACATATTGTCTTTGGAATTTGATGGTGACTTTTTCTATACATGACCCTTTGGGTGTCTTCATGTTCCAGTCATTGGAAAATGACCACATATGGTCACTCTCACGCCAAGATCTTCATTCTATTGGATATGGGACAAGCTCAAAGCACAGGCTCTTTCCAACGTAGGTAGTTAAGCTCACTTGCCCTAAATTGCCCACTTTCCTGCGCCACCCTATTTATGTGGTGCGGTTGGCAGCGCCGCATGTCCAGGAGTCAGATGAGAGGTGATGTCTATTGAGGGCCCTTGTTATATCTCCCCAGAGAGTTTGGAGGGTCTGGGAGCCTTTTGGAGAGAAGATGCCATGGAAAAATGAATGTTGTTGCTGGTGCTGCCTTGTGGTGTTGCTGGTAATATCAGCCACTGACTGAGAAACCAGAGCCCTTTGCTTGGATTCTAGCAAGTTCTCCCAGGGCTTTTTTGTGAATGTTGATTTGCAACCTATAAATAAGAAAAGAAGTAGAGAAAATTATTTTGAATTTAAACTACTTTTCAGCAAACTGGTTTTGGAGGTCATTTTGAAATAGGAAACACTAGGACAACATAGATGGGATGATCCGTAACTGGGAAAATCCTACTATCCATTGTGAGTGCAGACAATGGCCTTACCTAAATAAGGTAATGCTGGTTCCCTTTTAGTTTCCTTAGGGAGAAGTCTCAAGGGCCAAAGGGAACCAGAGAATTTGAGCATTATGCTTTGGTTTAGCCATGAAAATGTGACCTTAACTTTTCTTCAGTTCAAGCCACTCAGCAAATTTTGGGGTGCCTACTATGTGCATATGACATATGTATCTCTGTCCTCACAGAGCTTCTAGTCTAGGCATCATATTTGCAACCACATAATCAGTTAATCAGTTAATTTCTGAATTACAATTTTCCATGAAGGAAGAGCACAGGCCACCTTGAAGAGTATCATAGGGGGATTTCCTTTCCTTGGGGAGGATAATGGGAGCTCCGCTATGGAAGGGGCATTTAACGGAATGGGATCCTCCAGGGATCTGGCATACTATAAACCAATGAGGTTCATAGTGAGTCAGGATTCCAGCAGAGCCCAGGTTGTGACTGGTAGTAGAGGAGAGCCTTTGAGGAAGGTTGTTAATCACATCTAATACTTAGATAAGTCAGAGAGAAGGGAACTGCATGTAGGTCATCAGACTGTGTGACAGAGTTTCCCAGCCTTGTCATTATTGACATCTGGGGCTGATTAATTCTTGGAGGGGGGACTGTGCATTACAGGATGCTTAGAAGCATCCCTGATCTCTACCTACTAGATCCCAGGAGCACTCACTCCCTAGTTGCGAAAACAAAAAATGTCTTCAGGAGTTGCTAACCATCTCAAATTGCCCAATGGTTTGAAGTTTGGCTTTAGCCTTCTTTCTTTTTGGATCCCTTCCTTTTGGGGGGGTCACCTACCTCTAAGTGATGCTCTCCACTGGATTTTATTTTTTTATTTTTTTTTTCTAAATATATTTTATTTATTTTTCACAGAGAGGAAGGGAGAGAGACAGAGAGCCAGAAACATCGATGAGAGAGAAACATCGATCAGCCGCCTCCCGCACATCTCCCACTGGGGATGTGCCCGCAACCAAGGCACATGCCCTGACCGGAATCGAACCCGGGACCCTCCAGTCCGCAGGCCGACGCTCCATCCACTGAGCCAAACCGGCTTCGGCTCCACTGGATTTTAAAGTTTGCTCTAAGCCATCTCTTCTCCTTTTTGGAATAAGGCAGTGTATAAAAAAATAAATGCCACAGACATGTGGTCACTGGTGTCAGATGCTGCGAGAGCTGGGACAGTCAGAAGCTTGAGCAAAGGCTGTTGGGTTTGGCAGTGGGTGCTTGCCGGCGACCTATGAGAGAGGAGCCAGGGTGGGGGCCAGAGTGGAAGGATTAATGAGCGAGTGGGTGGCGAGGAAGTGGAGGTGGCCAGCATAGAGGACTCTTTCAAGAGCACTAGGGAGTGACGGGAAGCAGAGTGATATAATGGCAGCCTGAGAATGATGCTGCTTGAGAGAGGTTCTTTTTTAAATTAAAGGCGAGCCATGGCTGGATTTACTCAAGGGCAAGGATGAGTGAGCTGGCTGGCTGGCTTGAAGGACCCCAACTGAAGCACCAATCCTGGGAAGATATGGGATGTAGAGTATCCTACAGAGGAGAGGGGGTGCTTATTCCTCTGAGAGAGGACAGAATGGAAATGGAGTCTGTGAAGTTACATCAAATTCTGAGGTGGAGGTGGTAATAAAGGATGAAAGGGATACCTTTCAAATGACCTTGAACTTCTCACCGAAGGAGTAGGTCATTTCCTTGAGAAGGCTTGGGACTGAGGAAAAGACCAGATGAACATGAGAATTGAGGATTTGTATAGTTTCTTGATTTTTAGTGAAACTCTAAGCCTCTCCCCTCAATGCCCTGCCAAATTTAAATGTAAAGATGGATTTAAAACTTGATGTCTCTATTTAATGTGGAAGTGTTTCTTTTCCTCAGCAAGCTGTTATAAAACATGTGCATCTTTCATTTGAAGAGGTATTGGAATTGAGAAAGTGTAGTAGTTGCCCAGTGATTACAAGGATCTCCTGGTGGGGGGTTAGGAAATCCCCCTGGAGTCAGTTGTGATCATGGCATTTACTTAGTGACATTCCATATCCTGGGGACCTGCATGGAGAAGAAAGGATGGCCGGGAATTAGAAAGGGGAGTGAAGATGAATTATCAATGCTGCACTGGGGATGATGGAAGGATTTTCCTCCCCTTTTCAATCATTGGAAAAACACTTGGTTCTATGAGGAACGGCCTATAGTACCTGCGAGTACTTTTTGTGTTTATTATGCCTTATATATTAGCTTTGTCCCAGAAGTAATGAAAAACAGCTTCTCTCCTCTTTCTGATCTCACAAAGTTCAATGTTAAGCTCACTGTTCCTTTGTCCTCCACATCAATCATGTTTCAGGTTCCAGTGGCCTCTCTTAGCTCTGTCTTTGTTATAGACAATCCATTTTGGTTTTTTATAATTTGCTGTTAGTTTCCTACCCAATTAAAAAAGGCATCACAGATGTCCTATACTGTCTGTTTTGGAAAGTAATTTATAGTCAATATGAAATATAATGGAAATTATTATTATTTAGTAAGTATTCTAGTTAACATTCTATTTTAAGCTATTATTATACAGAGCCAAAAAATGGCTTACAGGTACAAAGTAAAGGATATTGCTATGTTGTTTTTTGATTATATATATCACAGAAAAAGTTATAATAAGGCTTTTGAGAGAAGGAGTAAGACATTTAATCTATGTCTCTAAACCATACATGGTAATGTCACATAGTTGATGCAGTCATTATAAGGTGTTACCAAAGAATAGATGAAACGGCAGCAAAAACCCAAGTCATTATAAATCTTTGTATTCAGAAATCTCATAATTATCATGCTTTTCAAATTCTATACTCTCCAATTTATATATGACTGACATATAAATGTGTGATATTTATTTGAAGAATTACTTTTAGAATATTCTGAAGGATTTAACCCAGTAAATTCCCTCATTCTCATGAACACATCATACTATCTGCAGAAGAGAGTTCTATCATAGTAGCAATGGCCATTGAAATTTATAATGACTCTCTGGAGGAACTGGGAAGCCCTGAAAGATTGCCTAAATTATCAAAGATTCGGAAATGTTCAGCAGAGTTTGTTGTCTTTTGTTATATTTGACTTTGATAAAGCAGATACTCTGTTAAGTCCAGTTATTAAAAAATCCAGTCTGAGTCAGTATAGGCTAGGATCTACTATAATAACAAATTACTCCAGAGCTTCAATGACTTAAAACAACAAAGGCTAATTTCAATTGCCCAAGCATACACTTCTATTGTAGGTTGGCAGGATGTTTTTCATAATCCTTTAGTGACTAGGATAATTGAAGGGCCACTATTTCTAATATTGTGAATCACCATGCTACAAGGGAGAAGGAGGGGGATCTCTAGAGGGTCTTGCATCAAGAATTAGATGCTCACATCTGGGTGACCTGTGACTTCCATTCATTACTCAATGGGCAGAACTAGACATATGGCCCCACCCAACCACATGAGGGCCAGGAAATACAATCCCACCATGTGACCAGAAGACAGACAGCTGAAAATATTTGGGAGCAGCATTTTGACAACCATAATATCACTCTTTGAAAATTAAAAATAAAGTATTGGTTTACTACACTGTACAGAGTATAAAATATCAAAAATAATTTGTCACACTACTATAAATCATATGTATAGTTATAAAAAATCAGATAATGAGTGTCCAAGGTCTTCATAAACAGAAACATACTATACAGATGTCAGGGTGCATACTTGTAGGTTTATACCAGTATGTCAAATAATTAATCAAGACCTGTAATTCTTTCCCAAAGTCTGGCATGAATCAAAAATTTTTTCCTACTTCATACATTTCTCCCACTTTCAGTTAATCTATAGATAATGTCTAGCACACTTATTATGTCTTAGACTTACTTTTACATCATTATGGTTAACAATAACTACTAGAGTTCCAAATAGTTTTGCAAAACTCCAGAACTACTGAGGTCTAAATTAATTTTAAAAATTGGGCATGTTTTTCTCATATGTTTAGGTAGAAATGGGAGATTACTTTTGTCAGGTTAGTTATTCTTTGCAATCATAAATAAACATCCATTTAAACAATCTTTTATTCTTTAAAAATACAGCATATTTCTCTTATAGATATTATTTTAATATTTTCAATATTATTAAGTTTCCTGTCTCTGTTTATCTTCATCTAAACACAAAGTTAAGGTCTATACTTAGATACCTCTAGTTCCTAAGGAAGCATCTAGTTTACTGATGACTCATCACAGTTGGTTATATTCAAGTCTTTATTATTATGTCTAAGAATAAAAGGCCTTCAAAGGAACTCACAGGGGAGGTGTGGGGAGTCAGATAATAGTGGAAGGCAAAGATCTTCTATGTCTTATTAGTACTCAGCCAGATTTTTCTACAACATAATTAAGGCCCTGGTTAATTATAAAGGAAATAATGATGCATATATTTGGGAGTAATTCAAAGGAGCATCCCAATATATTTGCTCACAGAAAATAATTTATCATTTTACTTACTCATGCTTTCACACCTTTTCAGAACAGTGTTTTGTTTTGCCTGTCACATTTGCAATGCTGAATAAATCTTTTCTCTGTAATGGCAAATATATATTACAAAACTGAATGGCTCCTCTCCCCTCTCCCTTTTTTCTCTATTTGTCTGACAGCGCTTCCCAACAGAGGACCATCTGATGATTCATAGGCACAAGCATGAAATGACTTTGAAGTTTCCCTCAATAAAAACAGACAATATGTTATCAGGTAAGGAGCCATCAGGCAAAGAGGCTTTGCGTGATCAGCCACTAATACTTGTTCTACTCATGATAGGGTGATTTCCACTAGAAAATTCTGTGCCATGAAAATATACATTTCTAAGGTATAAAAAAGACTTAAAATAATGGTAAGCAAAAAATATAATCAGCTAATGCAGTGTTCACTCAAATAATTGGAGAGCTGTGACTTTTCATTTTCTGGCATGTAAATATTTATTACTCTAAAACTTGACTCCATATATCTTTGTAAAAAGCAAACACCTGTGATCACTCAGGCGGCAAATATAAATTAAGCATCTATAATGCATATTGCATTGTTCTGAGTGACATGCAAGGTGTAAAAATTTATATGATTTCTGTTCTCAAGGGTGTCACAATTAGTTTGTACCCTAACACTTAGCCAAAATAGAGGACTGGGACTGTCCACGATATCCAGATGGTCCCCAACTTACTAGATACTGGTAGTTTGACTTATGATGGTTCAACTTAACAATTTTGTGAGTTTGTGATGGTGAAAGAGATAAGCATTCAGTAGAAAACGAACTTCGAATTTTGAATTTTGAATCTTGATCTTTTCTCTCATGGTGCTGGGCAGAGGCAGTGAGCAGCAGCCCTGCTCAGTCATGAGATCACGAGGTGAAATAACTGATACACTAGAGTGTCCTGTGTTGTCAGTGGTTTTGGGATATCGTGTTTTGTGTTTTCGCATCCCATCATGTCTATAACCTATGTATGGAAGTGTATTGTCCTCCGTTGATTCTCACTTTGAACTGTGTCTCCTGCTTCTGGTGAGAAGAGGAGGACAATTACTCCTGAGATAAAACTCAAGATAATTGCCCAACTGTAGGGTAAAGTAAGTGTTCTGAGCACATTTAAGGCAGGCTAGGCTAAGCCATCATGTTCAGTAAGTTAGGTGTATTAAATGCATTTTTGACTTAATGATATTTTCAACTTATGATGGATTTATTGGAGGTAACCCTACCACAAGAAAAGGAACACCTGATATCAAGTGAGTATTGTAAGGAAAAATACTCTGCAACTTTAATAGAAAGAGCTCTCTTTCTGGACTGAGGTGATAGGTGAAGGTTTCCTTAAGAAACAGTACCCACTTCATACGTGGGAGATTAAAAGAGATACTGCATGGAAACATAGCAAGTTCTCAGCAAATGTGAGCAGAAGTAAAAAACAATAATCCATCAATTAATTGCCATTCCTTCCCAGTTTGATAGGTGGTATGGTAAATTAGGAAGAGGGCAAGGCCAGGGGTTAGGAAACTTAAACTCTGTCTAGCCTGGGCTCTGACTCCACCAGCTGTCTGACCTTGAGGAAGTTAACACACCCTTCTGGGCCTCGGTTTCTTTTTCCATAAAATGGGAATGATTTTATCTGCCAAATCTATTCCACAGGGTTATTGTGAAGATTCAGTGAAAGAATGTAAATTGAAGTGTTTTATAAATCTCAGCAGGGTAATTGAAGCATTTCCCATTACCCTTCTTAGGATAGAAATATTTCCCCAGAGCCACCAGCTCCCTGGTATTGTGAGAGAGTGAGACATCCATGAACATGTTAGAGTGATAGCACAAGAACAGCTGATGGCCCTGGCGATTATAATTTAACATTTCTATGGCACTTAAATCTTACAAATATTTTATTAGCCCAATTACTAGTAAATCCGCCAAGAGTTTGTCAGACAGATTATTTTTACAACTCTTATTACTGGTAGAGGAGGTGACACACAAAGACATGGAGCCACTTTTCCAAGCTCACCAAACAGGGCAAAGATGAGGACCTGATCCTGCAGTCCTAACCCATTGACTTGTACTGGCCACTGCACTGTCATCCTTTACAAGTTTATATACACAATCAAATACTCCTGGTGACAGAGCTGTCCACACAGCTTCATCAACCCACCAGTGACTTGCTAATAGTTCAAATACATTGTGGTTTGGAAGACTCTCCAAAGTCTAAGGCATCCTCTTCCTTGTCCTTCCATCACCACCTACCACCTCTCTCTCTCTCTCTGCTTGTTTGTTTTTACTGAACCAGCTGGCTCTTCAGAAATAGTTTTTGTGAAGTCTAGAAACAGAGATGCAGAAACTCAAATTTGTAAGAATTATAAAAACCTACAAGGGCTAAGAAGGACGGTCAGTTCTTGTGTTTTTATTATTTACTAGAGGCCCGGTGCACGAAATTTGTGCACGGTGTGTGTGGGGGGGGTTGTCCCTCAGCCTGACCTGCACCCTCTCCAATCTGGGACCCCTTGGGGGATGTTCGACTGCTGGTTCGATCCTGTGGGATGGGGCTTAAACTGGCAGTCACACATCCCTCACACAATCCAGGACTGCTGGCTCCTAACCGCTCACTTGCCTGCCTGCCTGATTGCCCCTAATTGCTTCTGCCTGCCAGCCTGATCACCCCCTAACTGCTCCCCTGCCAGCCCGATTGCCTCAACTGCCCTCCCCTGCAGGCCTGATCCCTCCAACTGCCCTCCCCTGCAGGCCTGGTCCCCGCAACTGCCCTCCCCTGCTGGCTTGGTCGCACCAAACTGCCCTCCCCTGCTAGCCTGTTCGCCCCCAACTGCCCCCCTGCCAGCCTGGTCGCCCCACATAGCCCGCTGTTCAGTCATTTGGTTGTCCCTCACTAACACCCCTGCCAGCCTGGTCGCCCCACGCAGCCTGCTGTTTGGTCATTACTGTTACTGTGATGGCATTCCAGACAATTTGCATATTCCTCTTTTATTAGTATAGATTACTTCCTATAGAGTCACTGGTGCTGTAACTTCATAGTTCAACAGTGAACTTGTATATGCAAGTAGCAAAGCTGTAGACTTTGCAATTCCAAATATTTAAATACTTAAGTTCTTCCTTTATTTTTCCCAAATAGGATCCCTAAAAAAGACTTCATGGTGGCAGGGGAGTGGAAGGTAACTATTAGGGGGTGGTAATTATGTGGAGATATTACCAGTATAGTGGTGTCAGCATAGTATCTTATCGGTATATTGCTAGTAAGGCCTCCAAAAAGTCCCATCTAAAGGTCTGAAAAAAGTAGCTAAAGATCTGTGAACATTTCTATATAATAGATATGAGCAGGGTTTTGATTAAGTTCTTGCAGCTTTTCAATTGGTCTTTATCAGACCCTTGTTACTTTAAGGCTGTTGCTGCCAGTAACTGGCTGTGTCAGGTGGAAAAATATTGGGAGAAAAGTCACTCTAATTTTTATTATGTCAAACTTGGAGTAAGAAAATGAAGGGAGAAATAAATGGGGGAAAACAGTATGAATAATATATTGGCATATTTTCTTCTGCTTTCTCATGCTTTATGTTGAAGCTGGTATGAAGTCATTTCATATTCCCAATGAAATTAAGTGCTAAATTTTTTAACTTGTTACTCGTTCTGCATGTTTGTAGTCTGGTAGAATTTTCTTGCTGGGATGGAATACAGAGATATCCAGTCCAACTTTATTACTTTGCATTTAGAGGACTGAGGTCTACTACATGTCATAAGCCAATGTTGTCCACATTGAACTGTAATGGGCTAATGGGTATTTTTGCTTTGCTATTTGTTTTTTCTAGGAAAGACTTCAATATGTATTTATCTCAAATCTCATTGTAGTTTTAGCATATTAGAGTGTGATTACAAATATGACTGAAGTTTTTACTTGTGTGTATCTTCACTTGTTGAGAAAGCAAGAATGTTGTTCAATGAAGTGGAACATTGTTTCCGGGATACTGATCCTGATCAACCAGAGGATGTCAGCCCAAATCCATTGCTTGTGGCTCTTTGTTACAAACTCTGCTTAATCATCCATGGGCATTTTGAGGGGGAAGCCAAAGGGAATGGAATATACCTCACCCAAATTGTTTTTGGAATGAACTAGAATATAAAAACCCCGACTGAGTAAGTAAGTAAATCACACACACACACACACACACACACACACACACACACGCAGCCCATATTTACTTCCTCTTCCATTGAAGGTGAAAGTACATAGTGAATTCCCATTTTGTAAATTAACCCAATCTTAATGGAACAGGGGTGATTGGCATGGTTTGCACCAGAGGGCAGCATGCTAATAACAATAGCTTCCATTCATATCCTTGTCTTGTGCCTGCAATTGTGTCTTCTCCTTTACATGCATTATATCATTTAATTCTAGCTACTTTTTCATATGAGGAAACAAAATCAAGAGGATGAGCAGTTTGTCTAAAGTCTCTTTGTGTCTATAATTTTCTTACTCTACACCTGGATTTGTTGAGCTATACATACTAAAAACATGCTTTGGCCTTAGATTTGTGTTTGAATATAAATCTATAAACTGCTTTTTCTTTTATTATTGACTTATCTCTTTAATAGCAATCAAATGAAGAAAATGAAAGTTTTTAGGAGATTATACTAACACATTAGCATTTAGAGGAACAAAGATTGTGCTTTTAAATCAGATTTTCTTATTCATTGCAACAAGTGGCTATTGGCATTTATAGGAGCTTCTCAAGCATGTTTCAAGCTGATCTAGCAAAGTAGAACTTTACATGATTCACCTGAATACCTCAGAGGCCTTGATCTGCAGTCGTCTTTTATGTATGAAAAACTGGCATCCTGTCTATTCCATCTGGAAACCCTCCCCTTTGACAAAGAGTGTCAGAGAACGCAGGCAAATTAGTGACTAAGTGGAAACGTTAAGCTTGAGCTTCCACTATTTGGGGCAGGTTTTGATAAGACAATCACCTTGGATCCCTTAGTTCACTTGGCCAGCAGAGACATGATCTCACAGTGTTACTAACCCTTTTTACCAGCTCAGCTCTTCTAAAGCAAATTAAAATCATGGCTTGATTGCTGTTGGAACACTTGGGTAAGCCATGGCTGATAGTGAGGAGATGTAGAACATATAATTGATTTAAATCTAAATCTATGTTTCTACAGCTATGTGTCCTAAGCAAGGCCCTTGTCAGAGCCTTTTTGACTTGTCTCATAGGCACTCTCAGGGTAT